TGAAACGCAATCGATTCAAAGGAGACACAAAAAAGTCAATTTGCCATCAGTGGAAGACATAAAAAAATTATAGTTATTTAAAGAAAAAACGGGTTAAATGCATTACAACAATCTTTTTCGTATTGCACTTGGCTTTTTTTGACAAAAATAACACTGATCTCTATACAAATGTTTAACAGACGACGGGCAGGAGAAATTGAACGCATTCTTATCAAAGATTTTCATCAAATCAGTCTCATCCAATCATCCAAGAGTCTTTCTTTATACCAAATATTAATACGCTAAACTATAGATACGAACAACAATGAGAACGACACAAAATCCGTGATGCAAATCAAAGACTGTAATAATGAGAAGACGACTAACGACATTAAATACATCTTGTAATAAGTTTAGCTAACGTTATAAATTATATCGGAAATAGCAACGACATATATAAATAGAGACCAAGTATTCTTCATGTTTTTGCCATAGAGGGGGTAAAGTCGGGAGTTGGCAGTTTACAACTCCGATAGCCATCAATATATCGCACAGTGCTTGCAATAATCCGCACGCTCTCATAGTTCGTTGACAAGCTGCGACTACCTTCACACGAAACAATTGTTATTAACTAAAGGTAACAACGGACAAATAATGTAAATTTCATACAGCGCTAATATTTTTGAGCTACCTGAGTAGGAGGACTCGGTGCTACTAGCGCTCGTACAACTTGCACCATGGAGTGAACATTGGACACCTTCTGTGGGCTCCATTCACCAAGATTGTTATTCTCCGTTTCATTGAGAATTTGGATTACCGACGTCAATTTCTGAATATAGCTACCTGTACCGTTGGAATATAAAAATTATTACAGAACGGCGAAAATTATGCAAGTTGGTAGAGAAATCCAATGACAAATATATTACCTTCCTTAAAGAAGTTTTGATCACTGACGTTTCCCCTGAGATTTAATATCAGCAGGGGGCAATCTTCCACAACAATACCACCATCCGCGTTGCCCTCTTGCTCAATAACATCAAATATGCGATCAAAAGCACTTTCAAACGCCACTATCTTTTGTATGTTAGCATTGCCTTTCGTCAATTAAATAAGCAGCAACAAGACCTATATAGCAAGTATAAATAACATATTACAAGC